AGCCAAGCGTCCCGGACTAGAAAGCAATAGATTTCTTGCTTCTGCCACAAATTCCCCCAGCTGTGAGCCTTCCAACCTTCGAAGTATTCCTTTATATGTGGTTCAGGGTTCTGGGACCATCCCCTGAGCCTGCTTGGTCGGGTATTCTGTGTTGTTGTTGGCGGAGCTCTCTACTATACGTCCACCCGATCCGCTATCTTGTTTGTTCTCTCCATTCTGTTCTTTAAGTTCTCTGATTGATATTAGTTAATCCTTTTACATTCAGTGTAATCATCAATAGGTATGAGTTATTTATTGTCATTTTTGTGTGCTTTTTTGTGGTGCTGATTTCTTTGTTCCACATAATTTTCAACACTGAGTTCATTGTTTGTGTGTTTTCTTGTCATTTTCACTTCTGTTGTGTTAATGTTTACTAAATCTTTCTGATTTTCCTTTTTCTAAATTTGATGTGTAAGGAGCTGTGGTAGCGTAGTGGTTAGGAATTGGGCTGTGAACTGCAAGGTCAGCAGTTCAAAACTACCAGCTGTTCCACGGGATAAAGATGAGGCTTTCTGCTCCCATAAAGATTTACAGCCTTGGAAACCCTGTACAGAGTCGCTATGAGTCCGAACCGACTCCACGGCACATAACAACATCAACAATTTTGATATGTAGGTGTAGTATTTTTCTTTGAGGTTACCCTGTGATGATGATTATTATTATTTTTGCACCCTGCTTAAAACAGTCTTTTATCTTGAATTCTAGTTGACTTCCTTGCCATTTGGAAGTTCTATATCTACATTATTCTATTTGCTTTATAGTTAACTTCATTATACATTGATATCTCTGGTTCCCTATTTTTAGTCTTGTAGGTTCTATATGTGGATTGGTGGTGTTGTCATATATAGTAATCTCAGGTTGTTGTTTGCTGTTTTTGGTACTCAGTCCAAAGAACACCCTTTAGCATTTTTTATAAAGTTGGCCTGGTCACTATAAATTCTTTTAGTTTTTGTTTACCAGGAAATGTCCTCATTTCACCATCATATTTGAGGGACAGCTTTGCTGGGTAGATGATCCCTGGTTGGCAATTTTTTTCTTACAGAGTTTTATATATGTCACTCTATTGCCTTCTTGCCTGCATAGTTTCTGCTGAGAAATCCAAGATTAGTCTTATTGGTTCTACTTTGTAGGTAACTTTTGGTTTTTCCCAGCTGCTCTCAGGATTCTTTCTTTATTTTTGGTTTTGGAAAGTTTGATTATGATGTGTCTTGGTGATTTCCTTTTGGAATCCATCCTGTTTGGGGTTCATTCAAAGTTTTTTGTATGCTTATCTTTTCCATCTTTCATATTAGAGAAGTTTTCTTCCAATAATTCTCTGACATTTTTCTTTGTGCTTGTCTCTTTCTGTTCCCGAATTTCAATTACCTGTAAGTTGTTCCTCTTCATGGTGTTCCACATAACTCTTAGGCTTTCTTTAGATTTTTAAATTCTTTTTTGACTGTTCTTCTAGAATACTAGTATTGAGAGATTTATCTTCAAGCTCACTAATTCAGGATTCCAATGCTTTGCATCTATTCCTTTGCCCTTTCAATATGTTGTCCATTTCTGAGATCTTAGTATCAATCTTTTTGGATTTCTAATTTCAAGTTTTGTAATTGTTTCAAAATATGTATTTATTTTGTCTGTTCCTATAGTGTTTTCCTGAATTCTCCTTGCCTCCTCAATCTTTCTATCAATCCTGTGAAGGTACACCTAATTATCATCTTTTGAATTCATTTTCAGTTAGTTCTATTAGCTTTACTTCCTCAGAAATGTCTTCTGGCTCTGCATCTTGGTCATTTAGTTGAGTCATTCTCTCGTTTCTTTGTGTGACCTAAAATTGTAATCTCCAGGGCACTGTGAGGTTGTTGTATTTGTAAAAACAAACAATGCAGCTGTTGGACTTAGAGGGGAGAAATGTCTGGGGGTAATAGGGGACTCTTGCAATTCAAGGAGCTCACGAGGTGGTTGTAGAAGGGATGTGTCAGCAGAGTTCCTGACCTAGATGGAGTTCCTATTGGCCTTGATGTTATCTATCTGCATGGCATTCAATCTGGAAGCAATTCATGGGGGCACCTTGACAGAGCTAGCTTCATTGTCTGTTAAGACTACAGGGAAGCTGGGGGAAGGGTAACTGGTTAAATGCTGGTCTGGTGACTGTAGTTCTGAAGGTCTGAAGCTGAGCCCAACTGAATCCAAGCACCAAAGCTGCACACCAAACCGGTACAGCTGGCCCCCACTTCACATTGTCATGTCTCCTAACCATGTGACTCTGAACTCCTGGTGAGCAGGGTCTGTGCTGGGGGTGGATGAGGGTGGGAGTTGGCCACACTTCTAGTCACTAGAAGAGCGCCGGGGGGAAAAGAAGAAACTGCCTTTCTCATCATTCACGTGAATCTGCTCTGCCTGGCCTCCTGCTGCCAAAGCTGCTCACAAGATGGTCGAGAACATCCAGACAGCCATTTACCAGACAGCCTCCTTCTCTTGCTACCCTGCTCGGCTTCTCCTTCCAGCAAGCTCTCTAACCTTGCTTCTGAAGTTCAGGGTGCCAGAATTTTCACTTGTGTCTGTTTTATTTTGTTTCTTGTATCTTTGTTGTAGAGGATCCGTGTAGTATGTCTGCCTAGTCTGCCAGCTTGCCAAAAGTCTTCAGCTTTTTTTTTTTAACTGTGTATTGTGAATTGAGTCAAAGTTTATAAGAGCAGATCATTAGTTTTATATTTAACAAATCATACAATCATTCAATGATTACAATTTCCTCAATGTAACATCACTTATCCTACTCCTTCCCTGTTTCTTGTTTTCATTCTTCTTCTTTTCCAACACTTCTGAATTTTGTCCTTAGATAAATGTTGCCCCTTTGATCTCAAATGTTGATCATTCTATGGTGAACATATCGCACTAGTATTCCCCCCTCCCCTAAATATCTATGTATTGCTTGCCTGAAAATTGAGCCATGATGGTGAGTTCCAGACCTGAAGGGTAACCAAGAACCATAGTCTTGTGGTTCCATCAAGGCCAGTGTGCCTGGCCTTTTTTATGATTTTGAGTTTTGTTCCACATTTTCTCCCACTAGATCCAGGACTTTCTGATGTGATCCTTTTCAAAGCAATTTATAGTGGTAGCCAGGCACCATTTAGTAGTAAGACTTACTTTTAATTACCAAAGTATGTATGTTACCCATTTAAAAAATCTTAAAATTTATAAATCTTAGATTAAAAAATATCCAGTGCTCAATGTTTATGCCCTGACTCAAAGAGAAAAAAAAAAATCTATCAACCAATAATTAACAGTGGTGCCTGGACACATTTTATAATTCCCATGAAAAGAGCTTTACATCAGGAGCTTTTTGAAGACCTTACGTGGAAATACTTGCCTCTTTATTTTGATTAATTTAAAGAGCAGCCAATAATAGTCCATTTAATTTCCAGGCTTATAGGGCTCTTCTCAAATGAGGCAGTAATGGCACAAAACATTGCTCGCAGATTTTAAAATTTAAACTAGATCTCCAAGAGTTACACTTATAGATTCCACCTCTTCCCGCAAATCCTGTTCTGTTGCTCCTATGCTTTATTTGGGATAGGGGTACTTACAGATCATAATTACCCTTGTAATCTAGCATATATGGGAAAATGAGAAATATCAAAGCAGTTTAAAAACCAAAGGAAGCGTTAGTAACTCTGAATATTGAATGGAAGCCATGAAAAGAGTTGATTTTCAGGGCTAACAGATTATGGTGCTATTGTTTAGGAAAACAGAAAAGAAAACACAGGAAATCAAACACTGGTGTGGCACTGTGTGTTAATGCTCTGGACTGCAAAGTCATTTGAATCACAAGGTCAGCAGTTCAAGCTCATCAATCACTCCTTGGAAACCTTATACAGGTTGCCATGGGTCAGAATCAACTCGATGGAACTTAACAACAACAATACAGATGAGGGGAGGAAGATGGATAAGCTGGAAAATAGGGTATCTACAGAATCTGAAAAGTTATGCCCGTTCTCCAACAAACAATCTAATTTTTAAAAAATTGCTGGAAAAATTTTAATTAGGGCTCACAATCTGATTTTGAACATCAATTTACAAAGATAATTAATCTTTTCTCCCTAGATCCCCGCCTCAATCTCCATCCTACACCTAATTCTTTTACCTATGTAAAACAGATTTTGACGGAAAGTCTACAAACAGATCTTGACGGAAAGTCTACAAACAGATCTTGATGCATAAGGTAAAAGTAATGTTTGGTGGACACATGTGTCCCACCCAGCATTAGCCCCCCCCCCCCCCCCCCCCCCCCCACACACACTATAAAGGAAACAAGCTAACACTTACTGATACTTGGCTACACAGTCCAGCAGACCAACATAATTTAGGGCTTCATGTTGAACAGCACTTTCAAGAACTTGCACTTCAGTAACATCTTTCAGAACATGCTGGACGCTTTCAATATAGCCAGATTCCAGATTTCCATCTTTCTGTTTTGAACTCTCCTGGGATGAAAGAATGCTTTCCAGGGCTACATGGAACTGCTTCCCTTGTAAAAATGTGTCTGAGAAGAAAATCAGAGCCAAAAAAAAAAAACAAAACAACAAAAATGTGCTGTCGAGTTAGTTCTGACTCATAGCAACCCTGTGTAAGGTTTTTCAGGAGCAGCTGGTGGGTTTGAACTGCTGACCTTGTAGTTTACAGTCCAGTGCTGATCTTCCAGAACCACACCAGGGGTCTAAAAAACATAAACTCTAATAAAATTATTAACAATTAAATTTAGAATTACATAAGAGCTACTTTTGAATAATCCTCAGATACCAAATTTCAGCCCTGAATGAAAGTTAAGAACGCATTTTGAATAATCAAAGGGCTTAGTACAGTTTATATAATAAAATAAATGAAAGCATTCCTAGTAGAATTGGAAGCACAGTGATTCCATATAAGCACTGGACTGCAAACCACAAAGTAGTTCGAGCTGCTTTCTGTTCCCTCAAAGATTTAAAAGCCTGAGAGATTCTATACAGTATCATTATAAGTTAGAATCTACTTGAAGTCACTTTAACAATAATTTCTAGTAGAATTAGGTCAAAGTAAGAAATGAAGTGTGTGGACTCTAGGATTATACCTAGTTTATGGCACTATGTTTTTAGGTAACCAATTTAAATAATTAAAAGTTAACAGGTTTTCACATTTAATTTAGAAATGCAAATAATGGGGCTCCTGTTTCTAACCAAAACTTAATTATGAATGTAGGAGGAAGAATATTTTGCTACCTGGATTAATCTAGCAAGGAATGAAAATTTAAGGCACATACCAATTAAAAACAGTGAATGAGACGTTGTGAGATTTTTGAGGGAGAGCTTGTTGTTAAGTGTCTTTGATTTGGTTTTGACTCATATCAACCCTGTGTAGGGTTTCCAACCTTGTGGTCGAAGTCCAGTGCTGACCCTACAGCACCATACCAGGAGGCCCTAGGGGAGCCTATATGTGATGCTCTTTACTTGCATTTTTTTGTTGTTTTTTTAAAGTAACCTGAGACAGTTGCTCTGTCCTGATTTTTTTCCCCTCCTGTACTTTTAAGAAAAGAGACTATAAACGTATTCAACAAATTTAAGAAATACTATATATTTACTTGATTCCTAGTCAGGGAAGGAGAGACAGAGGAAAGTACTCTTATGCTAAACTGGCTTTGGTGCTTTCAAAACATCTTACATAATTCCTTAACATAGCAAGCAAGGTAAGTATCAGGCTCCTAGGTAAGTATTATAACCCCTGTTTTAGGGTATAAGGCTCTCTAGGCTTAGACAGTGCTGTTACTTTGCCCAAAAGCAAAATAAGTGCAATAGCAGCTTGGCACTACAGCCTGTGTTCTTTCCAGTCCACCACATAGCAAAGAATACAGAATTCTTGCAAATGCAAGACACCACAAACATCATTAGCTATACCCAGCAACAGAGCAGCGACACATGCTACAGAAAACAATTTCATTAAATAAAGTAATATCAAATCAAAGTATAGTTTTCAAGCATATTTTATAGACTTTTTATGGTCAATTCTCCTTAACATGGTCAAAGTGGATTGCTTCTGGTAACTACTTGAATAGTTAATGAAATTCAAGTTAGGAAGAACTAAGTTATTCTACCCAATTAACTGGGTCAGATGGACTTGTTAGTCCATGAAAAGCCTGTAAGAATTTAAGACGGATAGAATTAAAACTTAGGAAAAGGAATATAATATTCTAGAACAGCTTAATAGAGCAGAATATAAACCTATTAAAACTAGGAAGAACAAAATTGCTCTATCAACTGCCATGCAAATTGATAAATTGAAAATATTTCATTCCTGATGTAGACATAACACCTGGCTAGCTTCTTCACATGTAATGACCACAAACATATGAAACTAGATTACATAACCCCTTAGATTCTAAAATTTAGCATATTAACATTATTCAACTCTAAAAAATGACTCAGGAATAGATTGTAGCAACATCAAATCAGATGGTTTAATCAATAAACTAAAGGAATGAAAGTGAAATGTTTTCAAGCCTCACTATATAAATGCATTCTAAAAAATTTATGACTTGACAGAACTAGCAAGATTGCTTTTAAATTAAAAAAAAAAATCAGTGTAGCAACAAAACTGAAAACAAACAAGCCTTTTGTAAATGAGAATTTAGTCAGATTTTCTCATCCTTAGCAATCTTCAAAATGTAAGCTGAAGCTTAAGAAACTGCTCCAGGATTAGAGAGAATGCCAGCTCTGAAAGGAATCTAGCAAGTATTTCTCAAACTGCCTCTACTGACCCATGGTTTAGTGGGCTGTTGCTGTGAAGTGTCATCGAGTCGGTTCTGATTCATAGCAAACCTGTATAGATAGGGTTTCTGAGGAGTGGCGAGTGGGCCTGAATTGCTACCTTGCAATTCAAACTGACCTTGTGGTCCATGCTTATCTTACAGTGTGACACACTAGAATTCCACTCCGAGGCTGTAAATGTTTACAGGAAAGAAGCAGCCCAACATATAACCTACTGTACCACCAGGGTTCCTCTTTTTCTTTTGGCCACAGCACTAATCTGTATTCAAAACAAAAAGTATGATTCTGACTGTAAGGCTGACCCTGAACTGAATTAACTGATACACACAGCAGCTTGTTTACTATTCTATCTAGGTCAACAAAGTCCAGTTTTCTCTTGTGTAGGCTGGTGGAGTTCGTTCAGCATCTCAAGAATTTCCTCTCCTTTATCAAGAGGGCCATCAGAGTACTTCCTTGTTGTTGTTGTGTAGAGCCCAGGATCTGTCCCAGTAGTTCTCTGCCTTTACATTATACTGATTTCAAGATTCCTACAAACTGTGGCATTCCTAGTTTACGGAAAATCAAACAATTTCTCATGAAGAAACAATATCAATTCTAAATTATAATGGTGCAAATAAAAAAAATAAGATGCCACTAAAAGATTTTTTACGTTGCTTGTTTAGAAAGCATTGAGCTGCTAACCACAAGGTGAGCAGTTTGAATCTATAAGCTGCTGCATGGGAGAAAGATGAGGCATTCAGCTCCCATAAAGATGTGCAGCCTAGAAAACACTACACCGGGTTATCATGAGAGTAATGATGGCAGTGGGGTTTTGGGGTTTGTTTAAAACAGCAGAGAACAGGCTCCCGTAGATTTACAGCCTTGGAAGACCTATCCAGGGTTGCAGTGAGTCAGAACTAACTCCACAGCACACAACCACAATAGGCCATGGCCTTGACTATTCTTGGCTAAATCTGTATGCCACTTATATACTTAATCTTTCCCTCTAAAACATATATCCATAGGTTTAAGGTGTTTAAACACACATTTTTTTCAAAAAGTTTGTGAAAAAAATGAAACGAAAAGATAATGGAATTTTCCCACAAACTTTTTGAAGGCTCCTCATACATTACTCTTAAAACAAAAGTGCTTGTGTATCCTAAGACTATATGTACAGTATACTCTCTGGAAAGAATTTTGCTAAGGAATAGGTATTAGAAAACCTAGCTTTAACAAAAGAGAACAATATAATTTTTAGAGGATCAACTAATTCACCTGTGCTGATGATGATCGCTTTTCATTTTTCAACAAAACCTGTTTTAGGTGATTCTTTTCACTTGTCTACCCATTGTTAAGTCAGTTCCAACTCAGTTTCCCTACAGGACAGAGTAAACTGCTCTATCGGGTTTCCAAGGCTGTAAATCTTTATGAAAGCAGATGGTTTCATTTTTCTCCAGAGGAGTGGGCTAGTGGGCTCCATGTGCTGACCTTTTGAACCATGGCACTACCAGGCTCTTTTCACTTGTCAAAGAAGCAGGTTAAGGAGCTCTGGTAGCATAGTGGTTATGAATCGGGTTGTGAACCTCAGGGTCAGCAGTTAGAAACTACCAGCTGCTCCACGGGAGAAAGATAAGGCTTTCTGCTCCCATAAAGATTTACAGCCTTGGAAACCCTGTACAGGGTCACTATGAGTCGGAACCGACTCCACAGCACATAACAACAAGAAGCAGGTTAGGAGTTGAAACCTAAAGTTTATTTAGGCTCAATTCCTAATCAAGAACACCTGATAACCTTAATTTATCAAACTCTAAATACAATGCCCAAGGAGCTTTGGTAGCATAATGGTTACAAATTGGGCTGCAAACCTCTGGGTCAGTAGTTCGAAACTACCAGCTGTTCCGTGGGAGAAAGATGAGGCTTTCTGCTCCCGCAAAGATTTACAGCCTCAGAAACCCTGTACAAGGTTGCTATGAGTCAGAACTGACTCTACAGCACATAACAACAACAAATACAATGCCCATGTTGTGACTTGCTGCCAGGGTCTTTAAAACCCATCTACAGTGATCAGTAGAACAATGGAGAAAGTAATTAGTAGCTTCTGAACAGAAAGCCCCGCAAGCTAGAATTCTGCAAGGGGTGACTTTCCCCTGATGACCAAGTTTAGGTAATTTTAATACTTAAGTTTATAACTTACAAATGATTTTTATGCATATTTTAGTCAAATGAGTTGATCTGTTTCAGTCTCCTTTGTATAACGGGGATCTTATCCCTGCTTCATACGGTTGTTATCAAAATGAAGCGAGTTAATATAAAGGGTTATTTAATGCTAACAATTATTATATGGAAGTATTTCCTCACAGTTGTTATGTGCAGTCGAGTCGGTTCCGACTCACAGCAGCCCTGTATACAGTTTTTGAGGAGTTGCTGGTGCATTTGAACTGCTGACTTGTGGTTAGCAGTCCAGTGATTATCCTATAGTGCTACACAGGACTAGTTTCTCAGTAGAAAGAGTTAAGAAAAAAAAAACCAACCAACTCTATAGCCTAGAAAACACAGTAACCACATAGAATCAGGTAGAGAATATTACTTGAAGTATATTCTGCAAAGCCATCTTCTCCCAGTTCTAGAATCATCCGCTGTTTCCACCTCTCCAAATAGAAGACCTGCTCAGGTGTCATGGTCTGTTGTAGGATTCGGGTCACACTTGGGATCCTATTTCTTTGCAAAGGGATTTTCAGAGGAATTGAAGGATCACTTGCTGTATTTGATTTTACTCTTTTCTCTGGGTAGAAGAGAGGAAACCAGTTTGATGGAGTCTTTGTTGTGTCATCTTGCTTTGGGGATTTACACTTACTCACAGGCCCATAGAGAAAAACATCCTCTTCAAACAGTGATTCTGGGGTCTGTGCCTGGCTTCTGAAGGACAGGACAGACCGTACTAAATCAGAGTATTTTTCTTGGTCCACTTCTTCATAAGAGTTTACTTTTTTCTTCCGTCTATATGAAAAAGAAGTAGAGAAAAACCCCACACAGGAGGCTGGTTCTACAGAGAACCCCTTTGAACTTCTGAGCTGCTTGCAAATGGTCTGAAGAGCCTTCATCTTTAGATTTTAATTTCACTTCCTTCTAGGGTAGTTGCATTATCGAGGGCCTTTTCCCCCCACTGCATTCCTGTTAAAGAGAAAAGTAATGTTAGGTACCAGACATGTTTTGAATCACCAAGCGATAACTGCATCAGAATACTGTGCATTTAAACTGTATTCACTAAACGTTTGTGTGGCACTGTGGGCTTGCGTCAGACTGCAAAGTTGTTTGAACTGTACGTTCGGTGGTTCAAGCTCACTAACTGCTCCTTGGAAACCCTATATAGGGTCGCTATGGGTGGAATCGATTGGACAGCACTTAACAACAACAACAACAGAAATGTTTTTGATGTTTGGTCAAAGCCATTTCCAAAGGCTTGCATGAATACCAGATGGTCCAAACCCATTGCAAGGGGGTCAATTCCTACTCACAGTGAGTCTATAGGATAGAGTAATACTTCTCTATTGGATCTCCTTTCCCAAACTGTAATTTTCATGGAAGCAGGCTATGAACATTTTTCTCCCACATGGCAGCTTGTACGTCTGAACTGTCTACCTTCCGAAGAGCCTCCAAGCAATTTAGCCACTGTGTAACCAAGGGTCCCCTAGAAGGACCAGCACTGACTAAATGCTAATTAGCGGGTAGCTTGGGGCAAGACACCAATTCTAAATCTGTAAGGCCGAGAAAAACGGGATGGTCTATGTAAGTATACAGCAGCTACAACGGCAACAGCTAACAGCTAACAATCGATCCCTAGTTACCAAGCCCTTTGTTAAGCATTCCTAATAGATTCTTCTAATTTAATCCGCACACCTTCTAAGGTGGGTACTATTCGGGTTCGGCCTTCTAGCTGGTAAGCGGCGGCCAGCAAGGCCCACCCACAATTGTGATCTTCAGAAGGTGCTCTGCGTTTGGTGTGGTACTCTGGGGGAAGTCAGGGTTGGGACAGAATGGCTTCAGTAGGAGTCCGGCCCATGCAGGAGGGGTCGGTACCTTAGAAGTCACTAGGCTGCATCTAGGCAGGTAAGCAACGCTTCACTTAATTATTTGGGAACGAACATTCTCACGGAACTCGTATTTTCATCGATCCCGCGCTTTTCGTCCGATGTTAAGACCCGCCCGAGGCGCGGCGTCCCCAGCATGCACTGCGGCGCTAAGGCACCGCCCCCAAGCCCTAGTTCACCTTCTCAGAGACTCTCTTTTGCGGAAGCGCGGGCGCATCCAAATCGCGCCACTTTGTTCTCACGAGATCTTCTTTACGTCACTATTCCCCGCCATCTTGGCCTCGGACTGAGTGATAAATTCCCCACCGTACTGGAGCGCGGTCTTTTTTGCGACGCGCCTTGCTGGGAGAGTGCTAGTGACTCTGTGTTCCCGGCGCTGCCCTACGATCGGCGGTTTCTGCGCGGTGCGGAGCGAGGGTAGGCCTCGCGTTATTTTTATGCCCAGCTCCAAGATGGATGACAGCGGGGTCGGGGGAGGCCGCTCAGGGGGAGCACGTGGCGCGCTGTTCGCCAGCTCCCGGGGCTGCTGGGATGGTGGCGGAGTCTCGAGGCCTCCCGTCGCCATCAGTCAGGGAGACCGGCGGAGGCGGGGCCGCGGCCGCCGCTGAGAGGCGGCCCGGCGGCGGCGGCGGCCCATCCTCTTCTTTCCTCGCACAGCCAGGCGGCCCCTGCTCGAGACCCGCGTCGCCATGGCCGCGGTTCCCGAGTTGCTGCAGCAGCAAGAGGAGGACCGCAGCGAGGTGAGGCTCTTCCCGCGCCCAGGCTCTGGACGGCTGGCCCTCCAATCGCCCCACACCTTTATTTTTTCCCGCATTGTTTCCCTCGACCCACCGCTCAGACGCACCCCGCGGGCTCCCGTGTCTGCGCGAGGCTTGCACCGGAGGGACCGCGGCGGAGGGAAGTGGGGTAGTAGACATTCCCGCCTCCGCTCTTTGCCAGGGGCCCAGCGGTACAAGGCTGCGGAGACCTGGGGACATGTTTTATTAAATGTTTAAGTCTTCGCATGGCTTGAAATCGTGAAAGCTTCTTAACATTGAAGAAACGGCAAGTTTGATTTTACTTCCAAACTGACTTATTGGGGAAACTTTCTGCCCCCAGCACGGGGCAACTGCATCAAGTCAAAAGCGAAGCACGCTCTTTAGAACTTTGTAAACAGTGCGGTGCACTTGATGAAGTTCCCTAATGTTGACTTGGTGCTCAAATACTTGTCACACGTTTTGGGGGTTGGTTTATCCCTTTACCAAGCCCACGCCGATTCATAGCGACCCCTCTATAGGACCAGGGTAGACTTGCCCCGTAGGGCACCCAAAGCTGCCTCACTTACCTGCGGAGCGGCCGCTGGCTACGGCTACCTGGGCGTGCACTGCCCGTCGTTAAGCTCCGCGCCGAGCGCTTTAACCGCGGAGCCACCGGGCATTCGGAAATTGTTCCCATGTGCTAGAAATCTTGGCCTCTGACAGCCATTAAGATTGAAGACGATGCCCTCTTTGATTAACCCCTTAAGTCTCAAGGGTCTTTTCGCAAAAATACGAGGTCGATGAAGAGCCTCAGTGTAAAAGCTTCCGCCAGAAAAACGGGGGAAATGTAAAGGGTTAAGTAAAGTAAATCTGGAATAGTTTTTAAAAACGAAGTCGTTTTGGAAGAGCGTATTTGAGTGGTGAGACACATCTTCGGACTACACAGTTCAATAACAACATACACTATTGAAATGTTCTTTTGTTCTTGGGGTGGGGGTGTCTTTTGGGGTTTGTTTTTTTCCTTTGAAAGTTTGTTTCCCTCCTGAATATAACTAACCGAATGTAGAAACCTGATACTACGTCCTTTCTAGAAGATTCAAGACTTATTCTCCCTGTGGCGCTGTGGGTTAATGCGCCAGACTGCAAAGCCGCTTGAACTGCAAGGTCGGCCGTTCAAGCTCACCAGCTACTCCTTGGAAAACCCTGTACAGGGTCGCTAAACAACAATAGGAATTTCGATGTCGGTTCCAACTCCGTTTAGGGTTTCAGAGGAGCGGCAAATGTGTTTGAGCTGCCAATCTTGCGGTGATTCCAAGTCCTGAGTCGATCCTCCAGCGCTCACCAGGAGTCCTTGGTCCAGAATCTTTAGAAAGCCTCTTAAAATGGATTTGATTGCCTCGGCCTGCCTCTTTAGTTGGTTGCAACTGATGATCACAAGCTTGTTTTTAAAATAAAGACTCATCACCGTTCTGTTCCTCAGCAAAGTCTGGGGAGGGTTATGAAGGCTGTTTCTTGTATCCTTGGTAAAGAGGGTTATTTGGAATTAATATCTACACTAACACCATTAGTATGAAAATAATCCCTTCCCTCCAATACTGATTGAGAGTAATTAGAAGCCTTTGGCAGGGGAGAAGATTGTATAGAAACTCGACCTCAGGAATTACCCTTGCCTTCAATCATCTTTAACGTTTCAGGAGACTTGTTTCTGGTAGTCTAGTAAACTTGGTTACTGGAAATCTTCCTTGTGTGATTGTGAATTGAAAAGTTGATGTACTTTGCGTGTTTTTTGGTTAGATGTCTTTTCATTCCCAGTCATTAATGTTTATGAACATTAGATAAAATTTTTTTCTTTTTAATGCAGCTGCCTCCAACTAGAATGAAAGTGTCCTGTAGTTTAGGGAAAAGCCTAAAATAAACTTGTACCTACATTGCAAGTCCAAATTTGCCCTTTTTTTTCCTGCTGTACTGAATAGGTTGGTTTTGATTTTTTGTGTGTGTGCTTTTTAAAAACAGGAAGTATGATTTCAAAGCTGCCCAAGCCTTCTTTCTGGGTCATTAACTTGCACACAGTGTCTTAAGTTCCTTATTTGTGCTTTTCACATTTTTTGACTGTTGGAAAAAATGGTTAAGAAGGGGCTGTACTAAACTCAGGTATAAATTCTCATTTGGTAAAGCCAAGTAAGTGATTAACATCACTTTAGTTTAAGTCAGAATTGATCAACCTGAACACTATTCATGTCTTGATTTACTGTCCTTTGCATTGTAGACTAAACCCCACTAGGTTACAGTAACCCCCAGTGGTGACAGTAGCTGTTAGATATATTTGGGGGAGGGGGAAGTAAAAGTAACACTGTCCCTGGGTAAGAACCATTCACTTCTAAGATGGTATGATATGGTAGGGTTGGATTATATTACAGAGGCTGATGAAATACAAAATTTAAGATTATTGACTAGCTTTGGTAGAATCAGCTTCCCCCTAATATTGAGGAACCTTATTAAAATGGTTTTCTTCAGATTCTTATACAGTGCTAACAAAGGCTGCTGTATATTGGCTTTGTTTGAACACTGGAAGCTTGAGGTTCTGGTGTGACAACTCACTGACAAAAATTGTAGGCTAAGGTTGAAACTCCATGAGAAAAATATGATTCAGAGTTTTGTAAATTCTGCTTTTCTTAAATATAAATAGAAACATTTCTCTGAGCTTCCAAAAAAAAGTGATTTTTTTTTTTTGATTGTCCATTGAGTTACTCTGAAAGGAGACGTGGGCATGGGATTTGTCAAGGTGCTTTGCAGCTTAAATACTTGGAGTTTGACAGGGTATGAAACTGGACTTTTATAAATGGGTTCCTTGGCTTGATTCACCTGCCACATCACCTCTTACAGATTTGGCTTGGTTCACGTTTTTGATGCACTGCTATGTGTTCTGGAGATAAAAGTAATTTTTAAAGATACTAACTTAATGTTACTGGCTGATGAGTTAGCTGTAGTTTGCCTGATCTGTTACTGAGGGCACACCCTAAGCCTTACATAAGTGCTGTCCAAAGTTCCTTCTAACTGTGACCCCATATAGGGTTTCTGAGGTGCAACTGGTGAATTTGAACTGCCAACCTGTGGTTTGTAGTCCAGCTGCACACCATGGTAAATGGTTAGGAAGGAGTGCAGGTAATGGGTGTCTTCAACCTTCAACCTGGCAGCTTTGATCGTTCAAGAAGTGCAGTATAAAGCTGTGATGGGTGATGAAATGAGGTATTGTTTACATCAGAATAATCTGGAGAT